GATTCGTGACTCGTTCGAGGATGAACGTTTATTTAAATTGGGGAGGATGTGACGACCCGGCCAGTCGTCTCATGAGTTACTGCTCCGTTTCCCCTTTTTCTGCTTCTTTTTGCTTTATTTATCCGTGTTATGTGGTATCGGGTTGGTCGGATCGAGTCCGTAATGATTTTGGTAAGGTTTGAGACACTTTGTCTCTTTTAAGGAAGTTTAAGTTGGAAGAGTCAATCGGATAATTGACTTATGTGTTAGAGGGCTCGGATGTGACTTTCGGTGGTTTGATTAGCTTCGATGAGTGATTTGAGACTTAGGAGTGTGATCGGAATGGGTTTTGGAGGTTTGGAGTAGATTTAGGCTTGAATTGGCGAAGTTGATATTTTGGTGATTTTCGGTTGATGGGTGAGATTTTGATCTAGGGGTCAGAATGAAATTCCGAGAGTTGCAGTAGCTTAGTTATGTTATTTGGGATGTGTGTGCAAAATTTCAGGTCATTCGGACGTGGTTTGGTTGGGTTTTTTATCAAAATCGGAATTCGAAAGATTTTGGAAACTCAGGCTTGAATCCAATGTGTTTTGGTTGATTTGATATTGTTTGAGGTGTTTTAAAGACTGGTACAAGTTTGAATAAGGTTTTAGGATATGTTGATGCCATTGGTTGAGGTCCCGGGGGCCTCGGGCGAGTTTCGGGTGGTCAACCGGACCATTTCATGCCTTGGAGATGTTGCAGAATTGCAGGTTCAACTGTTGCAAAGAATTCCTCTTCGCGATCGCGTAGGGGCTCTCGCGATCGCGTAGAAGGTTTTAAGGGGGAAGTCTAGTTTTTCTTCGTGTTCGCGGAAGTTGGGTCGCAATCGCATAGAGGTAAGGAAGTTGTTGATCGTGAACGCGTAGTGAAGGTCGCGTTCGCGTAGAGTTAAGTGGACCATGGGTCTTGGATGGAAGTTGTTCATCGCGAACGCGGTGGCCAGTCCGCGATCATGTAGGGTCAGATGCTTGAGCATCGCATTTGCATAGAGTAAATTTTTGGAGCTGAGGATTTGTGCTTCGCGATCGCGAAGGTTGTCCCGCGATCGCAATGAAGGAAATTTAATAGCTGGGCAGAATGTTTTAAAAGCTCATTTCCGCGAATTTGAGGCTAAGTTCCTCCATTGTTGGTTGATTTTGAAGCTTTTTGAAGAGGATTGAAGATGGATTCAAGGGGAATCACTTGGAGGTAAGATTCTTGGTTTTAAAACTCGATTCTAATGTGAATTCACCTAGTAAATCATGGAAATTAAGCCAAAAATTGAAGAACTAGGGCTTAGAAATTTAGACTTTTGATTGAGGATTTGATGGACCATTTGAGGTCGGATTTCTGAACTTTTGATATTAAGGAATCTATTGGTGTAAAAATTATTGAATTTCGAGACGTGGGCCCGGGGGTCGGGTTTTGGTAATTTTGGGATTTGTTCAATTATTGATTGTTTTCTCTTGGACTTCGTTCCCTTAGCGTATTTTGACGTCCTCATTCTGATTTTGGATAGATTCGATGCGATTGGAGGACGATTCGAGGGGCAAAGGCGTCGTGAGCTAGAGATTTGACCGGTTCGAGGCGAGTAATGATTGTAAATGATGTTCTGAGGGTTTGAAAACCCGGATTGCACATCGTAGTGCTATATTGAGGTGAAGCACACACTTGATGACGAGTGTGGGGTCGTGCACTATTGGGGATTGTGACTTGGTCCATCCCGATTGATGATTTTACCGCGTATTTGACTGAAATCTATTTGATATCATCATTATTTGGGCTGAATGCCATATTTGGGGTTCGTGCCAACTATTTCAACCCTTCGGGAATTTTTTGTTGATATTTCCTCACTGTTTTGACTTTATACTTGAACTAAGTCATGTTATTTTCCACTGTTTTCCTACTCAGCCATGTTTACTCAGTTTTATTATTTAAAGGATATTTTAAATGATGTTTAGGCTGAGAGACACTGTTTTACTATTGCCCGAGTGGCTTGTGATGATTTTTGACTGAGTAAGGCCGAGGGCCTATGTTGTGAGGAGACACTGATATTGATTTGAGGTTGAGGGCCTGATATATGTACGCCACGAGGTGGCTTGATTGAAATGAGGCCGAGAGCCTAGTGATGACGCCACGAGATGGCTTGATATTGTGCTTGGGCCGTAAGGGGCCTCTCCAGGAGTCTGCACACCCCCAGTGAGCGCGGGTACCCACTGTGATGTGAGATTGAGCCCGAGGGGCTAGTATTGTTCTGAGATGTTGCCCGAGGGACGGTTTTGTTGATACAGTGCCCGAGGGGCGAACCTTTACGTGTTTATCTTCCTTAATTGCCTGACAATTTTATGCTTACTTGCTGAGAAAGGATCTTTACTTATCTCTTAACTGGTTTACTATTTTTAAATGGTTTTACTACTTCATTATAGAATTCCTTGTGCCTTACGTGTTTTTTCGCTTTCAGTCCTTATTTACATTTGTTACTCACTGAGTTGGAGTACTCACTTTACTCCCTGCACCTTGTGTGCAGATTCAGGCGTAGCTGGTTTTGCTCCCGAGTGCTGATCCTTCCAGCTTCAGGTGGACATTCGGAGTTCACGAGGCAGCTGCTTGGCGTCCGAAGTCTCGTGTTTCTCCTCCTTTATCACTTCTATCTCTTTTCAAACATATGTACTAGCTTATAGACTTAGCAGACTTGTATTATGACCTATAGATGCTCATGACTAGTGACACCCCGATATTGGGCTATGTATGGGTGTTCTTCCGCGTGTTTATGTTATTATCTGCTATTTTGGATTTATTTTATCATGTTTAGTCTGTTTCTTAAATGCTTAACTGTTATTAATTAGAAAATGGGAAGTGTCGGCTGGCCTTGTCTTCACGAGAGGCGCCATCACGACCTGGTTCGGGTTTAGGGTCATGACAAGTCGGTGTGGCCAGTTGGGACATCACTTGAGAGATTACCCTCAGCCTCCGAGAAATTTCAATCAGGCTTTTATTCAGTTAGCTTCACCGACTCAGACTACTCATAATACTTCAGGTTCTACAGGTACGAGAAATTGAGGTCGAGGTGTTAGAGATCGTGCTACTGTGAATCAAGGACAAGGGAATGCTGGTAGAGGTCAGGCGAGAGTTTTTGCATTTACTAGACAGGATGCTCAGTCCTCGAATGTTGTGGTTACATGTATTCTTTCTGTCTGTTCATTTGATGCACTTGCATTGATTGATCCGGGATCTACTCACTCGTATGTGTCCTCGTACTTTGATTTGAGGTTTAGTAGACACCCTGAGCTATTGAATGATCTTTTTCTAGTTGCTACTCTTGTTGGATAGTCTCTATTAGCCGAATACGTGTATCGTGCTTGTTAGATTCGGGTTGAGGGCAGAGATACTCTAGCTGACCTTATTGTACTTGATATGATTGACTTTGACATGATGATGGGAATGGATTGGTTATCTTCTTGCTATGCTATAGTCGATTTTCATGCAAATATAGTTATGTTTGAGATACCAAATGAACCCAATTTTATTCTAAGAGGGAGTCAGGTTACATACATTTGCAAAGTTGTATCGTTTATGAAAGCTCAACGACTTCTGAAGAAAGGTTGCTTGGGTTTCTTAGCTATTGTAAATGTCACAAGAAAGGAAATAGTTAGTATAGAAAATGTACTAGTGGTGAGAGAATTTTTTAATGTATTTCCTGAGGATTTACCAGGATTACCTCTAGTACGAAAAATAGACTTTTGTATTGATTTGCTACCTGACACATAGCCCATATCAATACCACCATATCGGATGGCACCAGCAGAGTTGAAGGAGCTAAAACAACAACTACATGATTTGTTAGGTAAGGGTTCATACCGAGTATATCTCCATGGGTGCACCAGTACTGTTTGTAAAGTAGAAAGACGGATCTCTGAGAATGTGCATTGACTACAAGCAGTTAAACAAGATAACAATTACAAAATAAATATCATTTTCCTCGTATAGATGACATGTTTGATTAGTTACAAGGAGCTGCCCACTTTTCAAAGATTGACCTCCGTTCTGTTATCATCAAACTTCGAATCAAAGATAAAGATATTTCTAAGACTGCTTTTAGAAATTGATACGGGCACTATGAATTTCTTGTGTGCCTTTCGGACTGACGAATGCTCCAACTGCATTCATAGATTTAATGAATAGGGTGTTCAAGCCATTTTTGGACAGATTTGTAATAGTATTTATTGATTATATCCTAATATATTCTCGTAGCCAAGGAGAACACGAGAATCATCTCAGGACTGTGTTATAGACATTGCGAGAACATCGGTTTTATGCTAAGTTCTCAAAGTGTGAATTTTGTCTAGACTCAGTATCATTTCTGGGGTATATTGTATCGAAAGATGGAATTACGGTAGATCCTAATAAGACAGAAGCTGTGTAGAAATGGCCCAAACCTACTTCTCCTACAGAGATTCGTATCTTTTTAGGAGTGGAAGGCTATTACATGCGTTTTGTGCAGGATTTCTCCAAAATAGTAGCGCCACTGACCAAGCTAACACAGAAAAATGCTAAGTTTCAGTGGACAGAGGAATGTGAGCAGAGCTTTCCAAAACTCCAAACGTGCCTGACAACTACACCAATATTAGCCTTATCATCAGGTTCTAGAGGATTTTTATTATTCTTGATGCCTCGAGGGTGGGACTAGGATGTGTTCTCATGCAAAATTGTCGTGTTATAGTTTATGCTTCGAGACAATTGAAAAAGCACGAGCAAAACTATCCTACACATGATTTTGAGATGGTCGCATTGGTATTTGCTCTAAAAATTTGGAGGCATTGCGTATATGGCAAAACTTGTGAGATTTATACTAGCCATAAATGTCTGAAGTATACCTTTCAGTAGAGAGATCTGAATCTTTGGCAGCGTCGTTGGATGGAACTACTCAAAGACTATGACTATTTTATTTTGTATCACCTTGGAAAAGCCAATGTGGTAGCTGATGCATTGAGCAGAAATCTATGGGGAGTTTGGCACATATAGCTCCTACAAAGAGACTTTTGGCCAAGGATATTCAGAGACTAAAAGATACAGGTATCGGATTTAGTGTTGGAAATTCAGAGGCATTGTTGGCTTGTGCTCAGGCTAAGTCTTCATTAGTTGAGCGCATTAAGACCACCCAATACGAGGATGAGCGATTATGTAAATACAGAGATAAGATCGTAGCTGGTAAAAGCAAGGATATGATTGTTGAAAGTGATGGTGTGCTTCTAATAAGGAACATACTATGCGTAACATACGTAGATGGGTTGAGACATTCTATTCTTGAAGAAGCCCACAACTCTAAATACACCATACATCCTGGATCAACAAAAATGTGCCCTGACTTGAAGCAATTTTATTGGTGGGAAGGTATGAAGAAAGATGTTGCTAACTTTGTTTCTAGTTGTTTGACATTTCAGCAGGTCAAAGATGAGCATCGGCGACCAGCAGGACAACTACAACAAATTGAGATTCCAAAGTAGAAATGGGAAAGAATTACTATGGATTTTGTCATTGGGATACCACGAGCCCTTAGAGGTTATGACTCTGTATGGGTGATTGTAGATTGACTGACGAAATAAGCACACTTTTTGCCAATGAAGACTACATATGGTGGAGTGAGGTATGCACATGTATTTTTGAACGAAATTGTCCGACTTCACGGAGTTCCAGTATCCATCATCTCTGATAGAGGATCACAGTTCACTTCACATTTTGGAAAATTTTTCAAGAAACATTGGGTACACGAGTAGATCTTAGCACTATAGTTCATCCATAGACAGACGGGCAGTCTGAGCGTACGATACAGATCTTGGAAGATTTGTTGAGAGATTGCATTCTTGAGTTTGGAGGTAGTTGAGACACTTATCCACCTTTAGATGAATTTGCTTACAATAATAGCTTTTAGTCCAGTATTTAAATGGCACCGTACGAAGCATTGTATGGTAGAAGATGCCGTTCTCCTATCGGATGGTTTGAAGCTGGTGAGACTAACTCATTGGGACATGACTTAGTACAAGAAGCTATAGAAAAGGTCCAGTTGATCAGACAGAGATTGCTTGCAGCTCAAAGTAGACAAAAGTCTTATGCTGATAAGAGAAGAAAAGATTTAGTGTTCACAATTAGGGAAAAAGTTTCCTACGAGTCTCTCCTATGAAAGGTATGATGCGATTTGGGAAAAGAGGCAAGCTTAGCCCAAGTTTATAGGGCCGTATGAGATACTAGACCGAGTGGGAGCGGTGGCTTATCGTTTAGCACTTCCTCCTGAATGATCCTTTATTCATCTAGTTTTTCATGTCTCAATGCTAAGAAAATATATATCAGACTCATCTCAGATGCTTGAAGCACATGTTATACCGCTTGATGAGAAGTTGTCTTACGAGGAGGAACCGATGGCTATTGTTGATAAGAAAGTAAGAAAGCTACAGTCAAAATAAATTGAGTTCGTAAAAGTCTTATGGCGAAATCATACAGTTGAAGAAGCTACGTGGGAAATAAAAGATGTTATAAGAGTCAAGTACCTCCACTTATTTCAGTCTACATGTACGTACTTGAGTTAAATTCGGGGACCGAATTTCATAAGGTGGGGAGGATGTAATACCTATATTTTTTATAAGGGTGTATAGGTCATTAGGAAAATAATAATAATAATAATAATAACTAATAAATAAATATGGGAGCAAATTAATAAAACAAAATAACTCAAAAAATTAATAATAGGCAATGGGCTAAAGCCCATAAGAAAGAGAAAACGGGGAAAAAGGGGAAAGGGGGAATAAGGGAAAAGTTGTTGCTAAGCAACAGAAGAAGAAAAACCGAAAAGAAAGAAAGGGATTTAAGGGAAAGGGGGGAAAGACTCACGACTGGGAAAATAAGAAGAGACAACGTGATTTTGGCCTTCTCCTTCCATTGAAGAGCACGACAAGAATTCAACAAAGAGAAAACTAATTAAATAGAGAAGAAGAAGAGGAGGAATGTATGTTTTTAAACATAATTCATAGATTTAATTCATAAATTCCATGGTTATAGAGTTGGGGGTTAAGAATTTTATGAAGAAGTAATATTGATGAAATAAGGTAGTCCATGAAATTTTTGATTAATTGGTGAATATACTATTGGTTTGGGGTTATACACTTATATATTTCTATATATACCAACAACAAAAAAAGGAATATTCTTTCAGAAAATTTTTCGTTTCGTTAGTGATTGGTAATCAACTATGATTGCTATTAATATTGGGAATATTGGAAAAAGTTACAATGGAATTTTAATAGCAGTGAGTTGGGATACTGTAACGGGTCTTGATATTTCAATTAAAATTAGAAGGATCGTTGGGTTATTATACTTCGGCGAATTAAGAGCCAAATATGAAATTTTGAGGATTTGGGTATTCATAACTAGTGATGAATTCAGCCTAAATAAGGCAATTAACACGAGATCGATGTTGATGCAATTATAGATTGATTGAAGAAAGTTGTACGGATCGCTCGAGGTGACGAGTTTGGTATTTCACACGAGTATTGTTAGTAGTAATCTTATCGCAATTTGTGTTTTCATAACTTGCATGATTTACACATGATTTTTGATATGAATATGTTACCAATTATTTTGAGTTGCAACAAGTCTTTTACTCGATATGATACCGAAATAGTTATTTGAGATGGTTAGCGATGGTTAGCGTTGTTTTAATATTTCCATTGTCACTAGATCTATTTTACCATACTTGAATTTACTGGTATCGAAATGAAATTATATGATTTGGTAAGAACTAAAATGCCATATATTGTTTTAAATTATTTTCTACGAGTATATACGGATTACAGAGGCAAGTATAAATGGGAGTGGACATTAAAGGATCCCGTAGCTAACGGCATGTTCGTTAGACCTAGTGCACCTTGTAATTACAGATTACCGTTATTGTAACGACACGACCGGTCGTTTTGAACTTTAGCACGTTGTTCAGTGGTTTGAGGCCATGAGCAGCATCACTTCAGGTATTATGACTGGTGCGCATAGTCGGAATTGCATTTTAGGTAGTTCAGAGCTGATTTGGAAAGAGAATTCTCGGTTCGGAACCTTTAAGTTGAGAGAATTAACTAAGATTGGATTTCCGAGTAAACGACCTAGGAATCAGGATCTGAAGGTTCCAGTAGATTTGCATGATGATTTCGGACTTGGGCGTATGCCCGGATCGGGTTTTGGATGACCCGGGAGCGCTTTGGCACCTATTGTGGAAGTTAGCATTTTGGAAGAAATTTCATAAGTTTGGGTTGAAGTGCATTTCAGTGTTATCGACGTCCGTTTGAGTTTCTGGGTCAGGGAGTAGTTCCATATGGTGATTTTGGTGTTGGGAGCGCGATCAAAAGTAAATTCGCAGGTCCGTGGGTCAGTTTCGAGTCATTTGGCTAAAGATAGAAATTTGAAGGTTTTTGAGAAGTTCGACCGGAAGTGGACTTTTTGATATCGGGGTCGAAATCCGATTCCGAAAGTTGGTGTAGGTCCGCAATGTCGAATATAACATGTGGGCAAAATATGAAGTCAATCGGACGTGATTTGATAGGTTTAAACATCGAAAGTAGAAGTTTGAGATTTTAATGTTCATAAAGCTTGGATTGGAGGTCGATTCGCGATTTTTGCGTTGTTTGATGTGATTTGAGCCTCGAGCAAGTCCGTGATGTGTTTTGGGACTGGTTGGTATGATTGGTTGGGGTGCCGGGGGCCTCAGGTGGATTCCGGGTGGTTAACGGTTCGAATTTGGAAATTCTGGGAAGGCAGAAGCTGCTGGTTGCTGATATAACCGCACGTGCGGTTCCTAAACCGCAGGTGCGGGAACGCAGAAGCGGTCCATCTATCGCAGAAGCGGCCCAAGGCCAGGCAGCCCAAGACTGCAGATGCGACTCTAAATCTGCAGAAGCGGAATCGCAGAAGCGGTGGGCCTGTCCGCAGAAGTGGCCCAGACCGCAAAAGCGGTTTTCTTTCCACAGAAGCGGTGGTCACAGGTGCGGCCCAGGACCGCACATGCGAAAATCGCAGAAGCCAGTGGCCTTCATTTATTCGGGCTCTAGGCTATTTTTGCTCATTTTCACTCATTTTTTGGGCGATTTTGGAGCTCTTGGAGGGGTGATTCTGCCTATCATTGTGAGGTAAGTTATTTCCAATTAATGTGAGTTTAATACTTGAGTTTTGGGTAGATTAACACATAAAAATTAGTGAAAATCATGGGAATAGAGTAAAACCTAGGGTTTTATAAAAAAGCAAGATTCAACCACAAAATTTCTTATGGAATGAAGTAGAAATCATATATTCTTGATCCTTAGGTAATAAAGAACAACTTTCTTCGAAAAATTTCGGAATCCGGCTCGGGGTCGGATTTTAGGAAACTTGTGTTTAAGGTTGGGAAATTTCTTAAATAGTTAGAATGCGATCTTGTGAGCTTGTATTAACTAATTCTTACCTTGTTTATCTAGTTTTGGATCGTTCGGCTCCAAATTGAGAGTTTGAGCTCGTTCTTGGTAGTGGAAGTACGCTTTGGAGCGAGGTGAGTCTCCTTTCTAACATTGTAAGAGGGAATTGTCCCCATAGGTGAAATAACTGACTATGTGCTCCTATTTGTGGGGGCTACGTACGCATGAGGTGACGAGTGTCCGTGCGTAGCTACTAAAATGTGTAAGTCCGGGTAGTCTAGGACCCAAAAGAATGTTATACTTGGAATATCTGTGATCTTATTGATAGTTGAATTTCTTAAATTCTATCGAATTGGTAAATGAATTTCTAAAAGGATTAAACTTCATTTTCTTAAATCAATAAAAGAGAATTGTATTTTATTTGGATAGATGTTCCCCGATAAATTCTTAATTTTCTGTTTGAGCATGTATTTCTATGTGTACCTGCGTCGCATGTAAGGTTCGCGAGAAGGATGATTGTTTATCTAAATTTGACCGCGTCGCATGTATGGTTCGCGAGCGGGGTAATAGATGCATCTATGGTTCGCATCGTTCGACCCTCGGCAGTGCACATTTTACACTTATGTTGGATCGGGCCGTATGACCTCGGCATGAGTTGCGCATGCTTGTATTGCTTGCCTTGAGATTTATTGATATTGATATCTTGTCACGACCCCAACCCCGGTCGTGATGGCACCCAACACAATGCTAGGCAATCCCGACCATTTCGTCACTCACAATCCCTTTTTGTTAGAGTTTATAACCAATTAACAGGATTAAATGCCATTTAACACAAGTTTAACTCTGCAGCAGTAGATAAAACAGTGCGGAAACCATTAAAATGCTAATACAAATCCCAAATGATCTGGTGTCATGATTCGAGAGCCTCTAATACAAATTCGAGTAGCAGCCTATACTTAAAGCAGTCTAGAATGCGGAAATAAAGAGGATAAGGGAAGAAATCGGGTCCTCCGGACGCCATGCAGCTACCTCGATAACTCCAGAAATAAGCTAAACAGCAGTTGAAAGCTCAACTATGC